AGCACAGTGTGGAAAATACAGCCTTACATTCCAGTGGGCAGGCCTGTGCTGTCTGTCTGAGTCCAGGTTCACTGTAGGAGTGAAGGTGAGGTTAATCATCACCACGCTCTGCCATGCTTCCTTCAACCCCAAGGGCTGCCCAGATCCATCACTGGGGGTTTGTCTGTCCCAGTACTCAAGAGGCTCCTCACTCAGTTGTGGAACTCCTGACGATCACCTGACCTTCCTTATGGATTGATCCTGAAAGGCAGTGGTGTCTTCATGGTAGTGGCCCAGGAGAAAACAGTCTCTGTTTCTGAAGACCTTCTGCAGTGGTCTTTACCTTCACTGTTTCTCCCTCCTGCTGAGGACAGCATAGGCAGTGAAGCCCAGGAAGAGGTTTCTTCCCTGGGCCCTGAGGAGAGGAGCCAGTCTACTCCCAGCTCCAGGGACACAGGGACACTGACACAGTGAGGCACTGAAGGAGGTTTCTTCCCTTGGCCCTGAGGAGAGGAGCCAGTCTGCCCCCAGCTTCAGGGACACAGGGACACTGACACAGTGATACAGCAGGCTGGGGGTCTGTGGATCTGCAGGAGGGAGAGCAGAGATAAATGAGAAACTCGCTTTAAAAACAACCAGAGTGAATCAGTAAGTAGCTGCTTGTGTCTCACTGCCGGAAGTATGAGTAATAATATGTGAGAACAGGAGTCAATGTGATATGACTGGAAACACAGTGAACAGAGACCAGTGGCGATGAATACAGCTCTCTGCATACAGTACATCAGTGATCACTGCACAGCTCAGAGGACAACTGGAACTCCTCAGAGACACCCTCATCCCTCATCACAGTGTCCTGAACACCGCAAAAACACTCCTCTGCAACTGGCACAGCGATGCAAGAATGTGGCTTTCTCTGGTGGAGCAGGGCTCAGTTGTGTAAAACTGGAGACACAGGAAGTGTTTTGTTGATGCCTGTGTTGTAGCAGCCATGATATGGACCTTTCATTGTTCTGAGTGTCACCAGCTCTTGGGGTCACTGAGTGATTACTGCTACAGTAATTATAATGAAGGACGAGTGAGTGGTGGAGATATCAGAGCCTTTTGGTTTGGTTGGTTTTCATTCCTAATAAACTCATCTATTTAACTTATCAAACAAAGCAGTTCAGATTTCAATTCATGCAGATCAACTGCTATCTTGAATTTGGGTTGCTAAGCATTGTGTTAATTATCACATTAATGAACACTGTACCAATTTCTCTGAGAATCACACACAGCTGCGGTACTTTAAGAATTCACTGTGCAACCTGACAGTTTACAAAGTAGTGCAATCCTACATCAGACTCATCAGAAATCTGAAACTCAATACTGTGGTGAAGTCTGTGGTGCACCTACTGACACCTTGTACATTCCAGATGCCTGCATCTGTATAGGTGCCTGGTACTATACTGATGATGATGTTGAGTCATCATAAGCTGGTCAATATGGTCTTGTCTTCCAGCATAATGATAATGTCAGAAATGACACATGGAGGCTTGTCCAAGCTTTCCAGCACAGATCAGCACTCACACAGCAGGCTAACCCTTCAGCCCAGATCTGAACATGAACATGTGTGAGAGTCACTGCCAGGTCCCAGTCCAGGCAGGCAGAGCTCAGCAGCTTCGAGACGTGAGAAGAGCCCTGGTCAGGAGCCAGCGATCTGTGTGCTTCTGTCCTGGCCGGTGAGGAGGGGCTGCACAGCTGTGGTCCTGGCTGGGACGCAGGGAGGTGTGAGCTCTCCCTCTCGCTGGGGCGTGGGGAGTGCACTGGGCCTGAGCCTCTCTGGAGTCTGGAGCTGGGGGTGAAGTGGCCTCAGCACACCAGGGCTGTAGAGGAGACAGAGCAGCTCCTGTCTGTCCATGTGCTGCTGAGAGCTGACTGACTGAGACACAGAAACTCTGCATGACTCCTCTCTTCTCTTTCCCTACAGCTTCCTGTTTTGGTTTGATGTTCAGTATTGGATTCATAGACGGATTCTATTTTGTTATTACTACACAAACAGATCCAATAAGTAAGTACTCCAGTAAACCTTTCACATCTGTTGATAGGTTCCATGTTTCTAATTTAGAAAGGGCTCAGGAGTGGAGGAGTAAGTGAGGTTTGTGATTGTGTTGTGAAGAGTTACAAAGGGAGGCCGATATACAGTGAAGCCTGTGAGGAGTCAGTGATCCTCCTGGTCATTAGGGGCTAAGACTCCAGACCCTGTCCAGCTGGGAGATGGAGGCTCTGTAGTTGGGGTTAGATATCTGGGCTGTGATGGGTCTGATCCTGTGGTGACCTGGCGCCTGTGTGCTGATGGGCTCAGAGGATCACCTGTTGTGTTCAGGAATGCTGCTGCTGATGTGTGTGTTGATCAGCATGTTATTGAGGACTGCAGTCCTTGTGAGCTGTTGCTCTTGACTACAGTTTTCACTGGGGGTGTGAAGATGTCTGGAGGACACTGTAAATGTCTGTGAGTGGTCACGTCCAGGAGGACAGTACTCATGATTCTGGCAAACCTGTAACTACAGAGTATGTGACTCCAGGGGTTTTTATAAATGAGTTGGTGGGGTAGTTTCCCTCCTGTGTTAATGAGATGAATACTGCAGCTGTACACCTCTGTACTTCACAAACTCGCTAAATTCACTTTATTGAAACTTGTTTTCTCTGTTTTTCATTGTGCAGAATACATAACTGGACTGGTTGTAAGTTTTGTAGCTCTGCTTGTGCTTGTGCTTTTTAAGGAGCGGTGTGGTCTCTGGGGAGCACGTGCATGTAAGTGGAGTTGTGTCTGTTGTTCACCTGCTGGGGAGGAGATAGAGTTCCTCCCAGTCAAGTCATTGCAGAGCTGCAGTCCTCTGGCACAGGGCTGCTCAGAGAGGGAGAGGGGGGAAGGCATGACACCATTCTGCATGGGCACTGCTAGAGACAGAGAACAAGCAGGAGCAGAGCTGCTCAGTGTGAATTGTCACTGTGCAGTAATTTGCCATTGAAGCCAGGACTGTAGCTCCTGGCAGAGCTCTTTCTGTATCATTTAAGAGTCATTATTCAGAGTAACTGAAGTGCTCTGACTGACAGGTACATCCATAATGTAATCTTAGTCATTTCTAAAACCTCTTAATTAGACCGATATTTAATTTAAAACATAACTGTAGCACAATAGACCTTGAATGTTTATAAAGGTCTGATTCATTGATGTAGAGTTTTTTATGAGCTGATGAAGATCATTATAACTGTGACACTCTTGTATTGAACTGTGTGTACGCGAATCATGAGCTCTGGCTGAAACATGAATCCCAACATCCATGTAGAACGTTTGAACTAGACTGAGATCATTCATGAGAAGGGCTTTGTTTGTCTCTGTGTTGTGGAGTAGTGGTGTGTGAAACATGAATGAAAAGTCCTAATAGATTTTTCCTCTTTCAGCTTTGTGTCACAGACTTGCTCTTGTGGCTTTGCTGACAGTTCTAATCACATTCAGCTTGCTTTGGCTGAACGAGGCTCCAGAGAGTGACAGAGGTGGGTAAGAGTGTCTGGGCTCTGGGGGCTCTGGGGGCTCTGGGTGGCTCAGCTGTGTGGACTGGGCCCTGGGCTCTGGGTGGACACTGGACATCTGTGGTCACCTCTGTCATTAGCCTGGACTCTGTGAAGGCTGAAGTACATTTGGCCAAGTGGAGTTTACAGTGTTTACAGTGAGGCTTACCTAAAATCTGTATAAATCATTTTGTATTATAAAACGACCTCACTCCACTATGTGCCTCAGTGATGATATAATTTAATTACAGGGCGACTCGGACGGATGTGTGAATCAGCATTTCTTATCATTCTGTTTGGTCTGGAAACAGTTGAACCTCTCAGCAAAATCTCTGGTAAAGTATAATATATTGAGCTCTGTGCACTGGTCACTGGTACAGTACAGTGTGTTGAGCTCTGTGCTCTGGTGACTGGTACAGTACAGTGTGTTGAGCTTTGTGTTCTGGTGACTGGTACAGTACTCTGTGCTCTGTTCACTGGTACAGTACAGTGTGTTGAGCTTTGTGTTCTGGTCACTGGTACAGTACAGTGTGTTGAGCTTTGTGTTCTGGTCACTGGTACAGTACAGTGTGTTGA